ATTTTTTTGATTAGGGCTATCGAGTAAATAGGTGAGCGATCTTTGGTGAGCGAACTATTTGGTGAGCGGGCTGTCCGGCTGTCGAGCGAACTTTGGTGAGCGATATTTAGACTCCTTGCTTATTAATAACTATAGGACCAAATTTCAAAATTGTTAAAAATTTGGAAAGCGCAAACGACGCTCCATAATTTAAAAAAAAATCTCAAAATTTCAATAGAAAACAAAAAAGTTATTCTATTCGTGAATAACGTACACCTATTTTTGATGAGGGAGACGCGGGAGGGCGAGATTTTGATGGTTGCGGACGCTAATTTATTTACCCGCGATAACTCAGCCGGTCTAACCAAAGAGCGTAGTGACCCTGAATTTATGATTGGCTGCACATACAAATTCAAGGTTTTCAAGCTCAGCCCTATCTTATTCTGTTATATATACTAATAAATTATTAACTATTTATATTCTTACGAGTAAAGATTTATAAATTAAATTTATAATGTCGTTTTTTTACTTAGAGCTATTAAGTAAATTTAATAAGCGATCTTTAATAAGCGATATTTAAATTTCTTACTTTTAAAGAACTATAAGACTAAACTTTAAAATTTTTATTTTATTTAAAAGCTTATTATGCTTATATTATATTCTATAATTTAATATCTATAAATCTAAAAAGTTTCTTTCCATACGATTTCCGCCGGGTTCGCATTATAAGTACGATTTAGTACGATTTAGTCTATTAAGCAGACTTTATCTATATTTAATTCTTTTCGCTAGTTCTATTAGTTTAGTAACTTTTTAAAAAAATTTAGTAACTTTAAAAATTTTATATAATGCACTCTAATACACTCTAAGTAAGTATTATTCTATATATATATGATATTAATATATATCATTATTAATATACGTATTATTATGCGCTATATTAGAGTATTACTTACGCGACTAATTTCATTAAATCGTCTAATTCTATAATCAAATTTAAATTGACGTTAATACTTATTATCGTAGAACCTTACCGTCGTAATGTCGATTATTAGAACTTTTCTTTTTTCGTGCGTATTGCTGCTAAACTGATAGAACTGGCGGAAAAGATTGAGATAATTACTGAACCGGCGGAATTTAGACGGATTCTAATCAGATTTGCTAATTCGGCGGATTTTGTGATTTCCGCGATAAACGCGCGATCAGCAATTTCAAATTTTGCAGGAACTTTTCAGATTTGCAGATGAAAAGAAGTATCTTAAAATTTTAATAGAAAATAAAAAAGTTATTTTAAAATTAAGTAATATATATTTATTCTTTAATTAAAGCTATCGAGCGAACTTTAATAAATAAACTTTTAATAAATAATATTTAAATTTCTTATCTTTAAATATCTATAAATCTAAATTTAGTATTTCTTCTTTTATTTAAAAGTCTATATTATATTCTATAATTTAAAAAAAAATCTCGAAATTTTGATAGAAATTAAAAAAGTTATTCTAAAATTAAATAATATATATATATTTTTTAATTAAGACTATCGAGTAAACTTTAATAAATAATATTTAAATTTCTTATACTTTAATAATTATAAGATTAAATTTAAAAATTCTTTTTTTATTTAAAAGCGTAAATTATATTTTATAATTAAAAAAATCTTAAAATTTTAATAGAAAATACAAAAGTTATTCTATATATAAATATTATTTATTTATTTATTTAATAAGAAGTCTTAAAAAAGCTACTAGATTAATTTAGTTAATTTAATAAAAAAGTATAATAAATTTAAATTTATAGTTAATTAGTATATATAAAAGAATAAGATAGGGCTGAGCTACAAAACCTTGAATTTGTATGTGCAGCCAATCATAAATTCAGGGTCACTACGCTCTTTAGTTAGACCGGCTGAGTCAGCCCGCTAGCTCTCCCGAGCTCCCTCATCAAAAATTTGTGTGTAGAAGTTTTACACTCTGAAATAATCAGCTCCCTACGGATGCTGTTACTTCATAATTTCGTAAATTATAGAGCTCAGTTTGCGCTTTCTAACGCTGTAAAAATAATGAAGTTTGGCCTACTATTGGTGGATGAAATGAACATTCAAATATGGTAGTTATGGTAGCCACACCAGACGCGTCCGGGATCGGATAATAATCCTTCCACCTGTTTGTTTGTGTAACCATTATTCTTCCACCATTCTACCAATTCTACCAATTCCACCAATATGAACACAATCGTCTTCGGTACCCCTCGCCCAATTAGAGCCCCTTACTGACGCCCCCAGGCCACCCCTCGGCGAATCCGCTACTACTAGCAATCGAGGCCGCAGCCTAACAGCTACCTACTACTACTTATAAACGCGTTAGAAGGCCCTCAAAAAGAGCCCGAACGGATACGTCCTCCCCTATATACTCCTTCCAAGCCAGCGATAGGTGGGCTAAACTGATATTCAAATATTGTAGTCACACCAAACGCGTCCGGGATCGGATAATAATCCTTCCACCTATTTGTGTAACCATTCTTCTTTCATTATTCTTCTTCCATCATTCTACCAATTCTACCAATTCCACCAATATAAACACATTTATCCTCGGTACCCTCGCACTCAGTTAAACAAGAGGAGGATCTACAACAGGCGAATGCGGAGAATACTGCGGAGAACATTGCGGAGACAGTTATCAGCAGCAGTGACACAACAGGCCTACTCTCCACGATCTCACACCAATCCACTCAGCCAGTGCAAGAGAAGTCAATACAGCAGGCGAATGCGGAGAACACTACGGAGAAACCAAGCGGCAACAAGGCCCCCAACACCAAGAACACGGCTCAGCTCTCCAAGATCCCACGTCATATGCTCTCCACGGTTCCACATCAAATCATCACTTAGTAAGCGGAGAACACCACTGCAACTTAGCCTATCATCTCCACTACATTAAGAAGTAAGAGGAGGAACTACAATAGGCAAATGCGGAGAACACTACGGAGAACACTATGGAGAACACTGCGGAGAAACCAAGCGGTAACAAGGCCACCATCGTCAAGAACACGGCTCAGCTCTCCAAGATCCCACGTCATATGCTCTCCACGGTTCCACATCAAATCATCACTCAGCAAGCGGAGAACACCACTGCAACTTGGCCTGTCATCCCCACTGCATTAAGGAGCAAGAGGAGGAACTACAACAGGCAAATGCGGAGAACACTGCGGAGAACACTACGGAGAACACTGCGGAGAAACCAAGCGGCAACAAGGCCACCATCGTCAAGAACACGGCTCAGCTCTCCAAGATCCCACGTCATATCAGTCATCCACTCAGTCAGCCACTCAGCTAGCCACTCAGTCTGATACTCTACAAGAGGAGGAGCAAGAGAAGGAACTACAACAGGCAAATGCGGAGAACACTGCGGAGAAACCAAGCGGCAACAAGGCTACCATCGTCAAAAACACAGCTCAGCTCCCCAAAACCCCCCCCCCCCACCCTCCCCCGCCCCCCCCCAAAAACACACCCCCAAACGAGGAAAACCCCCCCCCCAACCCCCCCTCCCCCCCCCCCCAAAAAAAGAAGAAAGAGGAAAAAACAAAAAAAAAAAAAGAGGAGCAACCACCACAAAAAAAAAAAAAAAAAACCCCCCCCGAAAAAAAACCACCACAAAAATATATATAAAAAAAAAAAACCCTACCTTTCTCTTTCCAACACAAACAATTTTTTAAAAAAAATAAAACCCCCCCGGGAGAAAATAAAATTTAAACCCCCCCAAAAAAAATAATTTCCCCCTTTTTTCCTCTATTTTTAAACCCTTACCCCAAAAAAAAACGCCTTTCCCTTTTTTTTTTATTAATAAAAAATTAAAAAAAACCCCCCCCAAACACCCCCCCCAAAAAAATATTACCCCCCCCCCCCCCCCCCCACAAAAAAACCCCAAAAAAATAAAAAAAAAAAAATTTTTATTAATAGAAGTAAAAAAAAAAAAACAAACAAAAAAAAAAAAAAATTTATATTTAAAAAAAAAATAAAAAAAAAAAAAAAAAAAAAAAAAAAACAAAACCAAAAAAAAAAAAAAAAAAAAAAAAAAACAAACAAAAAAATAAAAATAAATACAAAATTTATATTTAAAAAAAAAAAAAAAAATAAAAAAAAAAAAAAAAATAAAAAAAAAAAAAAAAAAAAAAAAAAATATTATTTTTTTAAAGTTCGAGAATCGAATTTAATCTCGAAATTAGATTTAAAAATAAATTACTTTTTATAAATTTAATTTATAAACTTAAACTTATATATATTAAATAGAGATTATATACGTAATTAATATATATAATAGAATAAGATAGAGTTAAATTATAAAATCTTAAATTTATATATATAATTAATTATAAATTTAGAATTATTATACTCTTTAATTAAATCGACTAAGTTATCGCGAATAAATAAATTAATATTTATAATTTATTAAAATCTCTTATTCTACTTTTAATTATTCAATAAATTTACTATTTTCTATTAAAATTTTAAGATTTTTTTTTTTCAATTATAGAGCGTAGATTACGCTTTTAAATGCTTTAAAAAATTTAAAAATTTAATCTTATAATTATTAAAAGGCAAGACACTCAAATATTACTCATTAAAAATCGCTTATCAAAGATCGCTTATCAAAGATCGCTTATCAAATTTACTCGATAGCTCTAATTAAAAAAAAAAATTATAAATTTAATTCATATACCTTTACTCGTAGCTATTAATTTTTTAAAAATAATTAAATAGATAATTCTATTTTAAGTTTAGATATATTCTATTCTTCTATTAGATAGATATCAAATTATTACTTAAAGAGGTAAAGTGTGAATATTATTAGACCTCGCACTTCGGGAGAACCTCGGTGACGTATTAATATGCATCATGTTAAGCCAGATGTGCTTTCCCTTTCTCGTGTGGTGTCTCTCTTACTATTGCCTATCTGATCGCAACTGATTTACACAATACTTCATGAGCATCGACGGGAAGCTTGCCTGAAGCACTGATTATTTCTACTATGGAGAAAACTCACATCAACCTCGTCATTCTGTCGCCATCACAAGAGGTCAATAAACTTACCTTCTCCGGCATATCTACAGCTACGAGTATCGGCGAATTGAGAGAAAGGATATCAGCTGAAGTTGCAACCCATCCTGCTCCGGCCCGGCAACGGTTGATATATCGTGGCCATCCTCTGATTGATGTGGCAAAGACCCTGAAAGACGTCTTCACCCAAGAGATTGTTTGTCTCGTGCCATGTCACTCACTCCGCAAAGCTGACAATGCATAGATAGATAGCTCCGAAACACTCTCGCTCCACCTGGTCCTACCACCAGAAATGTCCACTCAGCTAGCACCTTCAGCGTCCACAGCACACCCAGGCCAAGGCCAGCAGGCTCTTCCAGCGCAACACGCACATGGCAGCTCAAGTAACTCCGGAACTCCACAGGACCCACATCAGGCTAATGAGAACGTACATGCATCACAAAGGCCAGCCGCTCAGGGTCATATTCCAACCCCGTCACCGCCACACTACCACGTACATGCGCCTGGATATGGCCATAGCCATGGGAATGGGAATGGTGCTCTTCAAGCACAATTCCCTCCGCAACTTCAACAGGCTTTTGCCCAATTTCATGCTGTGAACCAGCAGCTTGCAGCTCAACTCGCGGCTATTGGAAACAACCCTATGCTTCAGGGAATGCCTCCCAATCAACCTCCAGCACAGCCGAATCAGCCACCAGCCTTTGCACAGCCTGCTTTTCAGCATGCCATGGCGCAACAACAGCAAGCGAGAGCAGCAGGCGTACAACATGGGATACACGGCGGGCCCATGCAGAATGTACAGATCAATCCTTCCACTTCTTCTCCGCAGACTGTTTTATCAACACCGCAGAGCAACGACCAAGGCGCAGCTTCGGCACCCTCTACTACTCCTGGAAATACGAGTACAGTGGTCCGTGAAAACCATGGTCCAAATGGGGAGAGATGGCAGATGGTCATCCAGAGTGGACCGATGAACATACATGCTCACAACGGGTTTCCAAATCCTCATGCTGCATCTCCCAATTCTTTGCATACTGGTGCAAACACACCAAGACGTACGTCACCTGCACTGCAGCCTAGCCGCTCATCACAGACTGCAGGCATCGGTGCAACAGCCGGAAGCCCTCCACCGCCGGCAGGGATCGGTCGAACTCCAACACCGAACGTTGCACTCATGCATCTCCAATCCAATCTCTCTACCATGGATGCTGCTATGGTTGGGGGCAATCCGTTGCCAGAGTCTGTGTTTGAACAGGCTCAAGAAATGATAAGGGGCATTACAGATCTACCGCAAGAAGTCGCAACCGCACTACGAACTCGTTTGGCCAACCTTTCTCATCATTCAAGCCATCTGCGGGAAAATCTACATAGTAACCTAATTCGAGCAGCTCACGACCGAGCCACTTCGCAAAGAGCGGCTCAAGGAACCGAATCTTCTGCGGTGTATGTTCTCTCCTCACCTAGTGGACCACACGCCCTACTAGTCTCGCCATCTGGATTGTATACAGCCCCTTGGCAATTTCCTTCCCTTGGCGCCATCACTCCTCAATCTGTAATGCTCCCTACCACTACTGCCCCTGCGCAAACTCAACCAGCAAACAATAACATTCCCATCAACGAACAGCACCCGCACATAGATGAGGTCCAGGTTGCGCAAGGACAACAACAAGGGCCACAACCTGCGGACGTCGCTCAAGTGGCACAAGCACAGCAGCAGCAACAGGTAAATCAAGCCAGAGATCTAGCCCGCATTCTTCTACCTCTTGGAGGCCACTTATGGTTATTGATCAGGCTCTTTGGGTTTGTGTATTTTTTCACTGCTGGGGCAGGATGGCGTCGAACCATCCTTCTTGGACTAATCGCTAGCCTGGTTTTCATTGCCCAGACCGGGATATTCAGGCCCATAATTCAAGGAATCTGGGATCCAATCAGAAGGCATGCAGAGGGTCTTGTTCCTCTCGCTGCTAATGAGCGTCCTCGTGCAGGCGTTGGTGGTGCTGAAAATAATGGCAATGGGACAGGCACGCAGCCTGGGAATCGTGAACCAACGCCTCAGGAAGCAGCCGAGCGCCTACTGCAAGAAAGAGAACGTCAAGATGTAAGCTTTGTTCGTCAGAGCTTCCGCAGGGTGGAACGAGCTGTTGCCTTGTTTGTAGCAAGCTTAGTACCCGGTGTTGGCGAGAGACACATTGCAGCCAGAGAAGCGGCAGAGGCGGCAAGGCAGGCTGAAGCCCGGGAGAGGGAAGAGCGTGCGAGGAAGGAGGAGGAGGAGGAGGCCCGAGAGCGACTGGAGGGAAATATTGATGTTGGGGACGGAAATGTGGCTGACGGGGCAGGAGAGGGTGGCGAAAGCTCCAGTGCGCCAGAGCAACAACAGGCTGCTCAGCCGCCTTTGGTAGAGGTCTGAAAAGACTGCATTAAGTACTCATGGCAAATGTCGCTTCCCAAGATAGGTACTGAGGCTAACGTGACAATGCCTATCGATGAATATGCCTTGAGTCTTTACGTCTACCAAGTCGGGCGAAATGCTCAAGACAACTTCTTTTTTTTGGTTTGGAGCTCAAGGTTTTGTGGAAGACAGATTCGAAGAAGCATCAGTAGGTGAGAGTATGCCTTTGCATATCATGGCCAAAGTTGCCCTTGAAACCCCTGATGCAAGTGGCAGTGACGTTCTGTAATCTGGGTGAATAGTGGTACTGCCTCTCTCCAAATGCGACTTTTTGGGGGAGAAGCCTTTCCCAAGGCTGGTGTTGTGGACATGTGTGTAGGGGTCAAATTGTTGCTGCCTCCAGAAATGCTAAGCCCAACCGAAGTTGCGATTTCACGGGAAGAAAACCGGTGTTCATCTGCTTTCCTTGCTGACAACATCCACAATCAGCGATCTTGACTCGTCGCCAGACAGTCAGAGTCATGCATTTGCGTAGGCTTCGAGCTGGATGTCTGGAATTGCAAGATGCCGTGCATCGTGCGTGCCTATCGCTCTTCATCATAGTTGTCACTCTTGTCATGTACCGGCACTTCTGGCAAGGTAAGGTGCACTGCCAATGCGTTACACTTCGCCTTCACCCTGCTTACGTCCTCTACCCTAAAACTAATATGCTGTGTAGATGGCTATGACACCAACAAATGTGACGCACTACTGACTCATGGCCGATGGCTCGACGCCCTTGATCCATATCACTCAGTCACGGGATATCAAAATTGGCAGCCTGCAGGTTGCATGATGCATGAGTACAACGCCAGGGACGTGACTACATGTCTAAACTCTCGAAGGGTCGTGTTCATTGGCGACTCTGTCACAAGGCAGATATTTTGGGCTTTCGCCAGTAAGCTTAACGTCCGAGAATCAGGAGACAAGCACTCGAGTATCTCTGTGGATGCACACGGCCTCAAGATCGAATTCGTCTGGGATCCGTACCTTAACACATCAAGTCTCTACCGAGAAATTACAGCGGCATCGCGGTCTGGATCCAGGGATTCCCAGGTTGATACAGCAGCGATTCTCCTAATGGGGGGAGGGTTGTGGAATGCGCGATATCTTGACGAAGCTTCCTACCAGCGCTTCGAGAGTTCCATTGGTGAAATAACGCGTGTTCTGCAGAATGTAAGAAGACCCAGAATGCCATTGGGCAAGTCTGGTCAAAGCTCTGAAGGCGTGGATGACCTCGCTGTTATTGCCCCAATTCAGGTACCACATTATGATGCGCTGTCCCCAGAGCGGGCCAGGACCATCACGCCCGCTAGAGTCAAGCCCATATTCCAACATTTGCAGCATTTATCGGTCCGACAAAATATTACAGTCGCATGGAGTTTTGCCCACATGACTTGGCACGAACCTTCGGCGTACCATCAAGATGGCTTGCATATCAACGGAGCTGTTGCTGGTGAAATGGCTGACGTACTGCTTAACGCGAGATGCAATGTTGTGCTACGCCAATCCAATGCCAAAGGATATCCAATGGACAAGACTTGTTGCAACAGATATCAGAGGCCGAACTGGACCCAGTGCGTAATTCTGATCCTTTCTTTGGGCGTGCTGCCCGCATTCATCCTTATCACGTTCAAAGGTGAGAACCTCATGTCAATCGGATGTGCTGCCAGCTGATCGATCGCAGACGCCAAAAGGTTCAATTCCCTTCCTTCTCGCAAAGTCACACGGGCTATCACGGTCCTAGCATTAGCTATCTGCTATTGCTACTATGCCGATCGCACACAGCTGTTCAATAAGGCTCAGAAACAGTACTCATTCACAGAATTCATGTGGCTTTGCATTGCCACCCTCGTACTGGGAGCTCTCTCTATACGTCGATCCGCGCCTGCACCACTGCGCAAGAATTCTGGCTGCTCAATTCAGAAAGTACAAGATCAGCCGTTTCTCTCAAGATATCAAACAGATGAGTGGAAAGGGTGGATGCAATTCATCATCTTGATTTACCACTACACAGGAGCATCGAGAACATTATGGATCTACGAAACCGTCAGGCTTCTAGTCGCTTCGTACATCTTCATGACAGGTTTCGGGCACACTGTCTTCTTCTACAAAAGATCCAATTACTCTTTTCGGCGCTCTGCTGCAGTCCTCATCCGACTCAACATGCTGAGCTGCCTTCTTCCGTACGTGATGAAGACAGACTATCTTTTCTATTATTTCGCCCCACTGATCAGCTTCTGGTATCTGGTAATCTATCTTACCATGGCAGTGGGCCACTCAAGGAACCGTTCTCGTGCGTTTCTGATAGCCAAGATAACGATCTCTGCGATTTTGACAACAGCTTTGATCAGAGTTCCCGGTATATTCGAAACTCTCTTTCGAGGCCTGGAGAAATTTTTCAACATACACTGGAATGTCACGGAATGGCGCTTTCGACTTCAACTCGACAGCTTCATCGTATATACGGGCATGCTTTGCGGCATATGTTTTGTGAATCTAATGGATGCCGTGAACGTAGAAACGCCGGAAGACAGCGCCCTTGACCGCCTCGTTCGCCAAAGCTCCTGGCTTTTTCGCTTTGTATGGCTAGCCATGGCTGCCGTTACACCACCTATTGTCTACCTTTTCGCTCGTCGTGCTTCTGACAAGTACGCATATAATGCGTGGGTGCCGTACATCTCCACAGCACCTATCCTCGCATATGTCATTTTCCGCAACATCAGCCGTTACACACGCAATTTCCATTCCTCAACATTCGCGTGGATGGGTCGGCACTCCCTCGAGACTTTCACCCTGCAATTCCACATTTGGCTGGCGGCAGACACCAAGGGGCTCTTGGCCCTGGGAGTTTTCGAAGGGATCGTAGGAGGTGGAAGGGGCGGGAGGAGGGTAGATTTGGCGGTCCTAACGACCATCTTCCTCTGGGTATGCTGGCACGTCGCGGCTGCCACCCAAACTCTGACCAATTGGATCATTGATCCAAGTGATGGAATGCAACATGTAGAGCTAGAAGATGGTGTCACTGGCGTGGAAGAGGGATTGCCAATAATGAAGAGTAAAGAGGATGCGCGAGGTGTCTTTCAGACTGGTCGCGCTGCAGATGGTGTTGGGATTGGGGTGATAAGGTCAGCACGCAAAATCAAGAGGCATGTCGCTGAAAGCCTAGGGGTAAGGATTGGAATCATTCTGGGAGTCATGTGGCTGCTCAATATGGTGGGTACAGAAATCATGAGGCCCCCGTCCTGATATCTGGCAAATTTCTGATAAGCAGTGAGCAGACTTGTTACTGAACATTTGCTACGAGAGCCTTGGTTGCTTGTAGCTTAGCGAACTACATCCGCGCGACTTACAGAGGGTGTTTAGCCAGAACCAATTCCTAAAGTTTCGGATTTGATACCCCTTTCCTGTCCCCAAAGTCATTGTCTTTAGCTCCATGCTCGCTATCTACCAGTGCATCAGGGTCATCGAACATTTCATCACCGTGGAAATGCCTGCTGAACAATCAGTCCTCCATTTCAAAACGTCTGAGCATCTTTGAATCCCCTGCACCCCATCAGGTCAATGATATCGAGAATCTATGGGAGAACTTACCATCCTTTCTCCTCTCCGCCTTCCAAATGATCACAATTACTATTCACCGCACAACCCCATCCCCCAGCCACGCCTTCAGCTCTCCAATTCGTCTTTGGCACCTCCATCCCCGCTTCCCATTTCTCCAATTTCTCATAGCCCCCATCCAGGGATATATTCTTGCGTACAAACTTCGAGATACCGCATCTTCAAAAGTTCTGAGTCAGTATTTCTTCTTTGAGATGCAAAGGTTGTCACAAGACAAGGCTGGGTGAGTATGTTATAATTGAAAATCGTCTCGGAAACTTTTCACGGTAACTAGTCTGGGACAAATTGGGGCAGGCATTAGGAGGTTGTCGCTCCGAAATGTAGACGTACGTGTAGGTCTTGAAGTCTTCCACGCATACATCATCGGGCATATGGCCCGTCAAAGTACGGCCAATGGCTATCATGGAGGCCGCGTGAGTGCAGATAAGAATGGATGTCTCGTTTTCATGCCCTTCTGAGGAAGCAGCATCTTCGATATCTGCATTGGAGATGATGTAGGTCAGAGCATACGCGCAGCGATCATGGAGGATCGGTATGCTTTCGCCGGATGAAGCGGGTATTATGCTGGGTTTGTACTCGGAATTGTATGATTGGAAGAAGGTTCGTAGGAGTGACGGGGAGGCGGGCGAGGGGTGGGTGAATCGCGCTAGGCCGTACCATTCACTGCCAATCCGAAGTCAGCCAATGCGCATTCGGTGAAGAATAGGAGACAGAGAGTCCTACCCTATGCCATTATCACCCCTCACCTCCAGCCCGCTCTTCTCAACAAACGGTTGTAACGTTTGCATACACCTATAGAATGGGCTACTGTATACACGGGTAATTGGAGGATCTCTGATGGCTGAGAGAGCAGTCGCTAGCTGTTCGGCTTGACGTGCGCCATAAGCAGCCAGGGGTGGGTCCGAGGGGATCTAAGCACTCCCAATTCAGCGTCTCTTGTCCCAAACATGGCCCGACCAAGGGAATAAAACAGGTCCTGGGCGTATGTACATTGGTGGGACTTGGAACGGTGTTATAATATTTCCCGGTTTTAGGGTCTACTGTCCAATTACCACGGAACTATATTGACGGCATTAGCATCGTGTAGAGGGTACAGCGGAAGGGACTTCACTCCATGTCTGGTCACATAGATGGTAGTGACTACCATAGTTCTCGATCCATCCTCTTTATTTTGTATATGCTCGGGCGTATTAATGTCAGAATATACTCATACGGTATACGAGTACTCTAGCGTAAAGCTCCTCCCCCTCCTCGGCTATGCGGAGTTTTCCAAAGTCGCCTATTCTTTCCTCGTGCTCGCGTTGCGCGCGGCTGACTTTGGAAATGCCACCCTGGCCGAAAGCGCTTTCCCGTCCATTGAGTATCGACTTCAATGCTGTGCTCGCAAGAGCACCACCTGTCCTTTCTGAATATTGAATTCTTCGCCTTTTGTCATTGAGCTTTGGAAAGATTCGGGGCTGCTCTGCGATTTCATTCTGCTTCCTTTCCTTGGTCCTGCGTCTCTCTTCTTATTCTCGCAACATGCCTCCTCGTGGTCGACGGCGACTCTCAAACCTTGCAATGTTTCTCTCACTACTCTTCCTCTTCACCTCTACAGCTTCTGCAGCTTCGGCTGTTCTGGGCATAGATATAGGGACCGAATACATCAAAGCCGCCCTAGTCAAGCCGGGGATCCCCCTTGAGATTGTTCTGACGAAAGATTCGAAAAGAAAGGAGACCGCAGCTGTTGCTTTCAAGCCCCTGAGAACCAGGGTATCTACGGCCGAACCTGACGCGTTCCCAGAACGGATATACGGCGGTGATGCCGTGGCTCTTTCCGCTAGATTTCCCAGCGACGTCTATCCAAATCTTAAGCCACTCCTGGGCTTGAAAACCAGCGACGACCTTATCTCGGAATATGGCGGGACCTTTCCAGGATTGGAAATTGTCGAGTGGGCCGAGACAGGTACTGTGGGATTCAAGAGCGACTCGTTTGTCAAGGAGGAGGAACCTTGGCTAGTCGAGGAACTCCTAGCGATGGAGCTGAAGAACATCAAGGGCAACGCTGAGACCATGGCCGGTAAAGGGTCAGCAATACAGGATGTTGTGATCACTGTTCCCTCGTTTTATACAGTGGAAGAGCGAAAGGCAGTCATCTTGGCAGCAGATCTTGCAGGTTTACGGGTGCTGTCGTTAATCAGCGATGGTCTTTCTGTTGGCCTGAATTACGCGACCTCAAGAACCTTCCCAACGGTCAACGAAGGTGGCAAGCCCGAAATACACTTGGTATATGATATGGGTGCGGGTTCTACAACTGCCACCGTCCTCAGATTCCAAGGAAGGACTGTGAAGGACGTTGGCAAATACAATAAAACGATACAAGAAGTCCAGGTACTCGGCACAAGCTGGGACAAGACTTTGGGTGGAGATGCGCTCAACCGCGTCATCTTGGAGGATATGATCAACAAAATTACATCTACGGCCCATATGAAGAATCTGGAGGTACTGCCGAAGCACGTGAGAGCCCATGGCCGGACAATGGCGAAACTGTGGAAAGAAGCGGAGAGGGTCCGACAAGTATTGAGTGCAAACACTGAGATATCCACAAGTCTTGAGTCATTGTATGATGAAGACTTTAACTTCAAGTATAAGCTGTCTCGCGCCGATTTCGACCAACTTGCTTCTGCATATCCAGAGCGAGTTCAGAAGCCTATTACAGAAGCTTTGGGAATTGCAAAATTATCCCTTGCCGACTTAGAATCCGTCATCCTGCACGGAGGCGCTGTTCGGACACCCTTCGTCCAGAAGCAATTGGAAGCGGTCATTGAAGATTCTAACAAGATTAGAACAAACGTGAACGCAGATGAGGCTGCAGTTTTTGGAGCAGCATTCAAGGCTGCGGCCATCAGTCCTAGCTTCCGAGTGAAAGAGATCAGAGCTTCAGACAGCGCAGTGTACCCTATTTTCGCCTCTTGGTCGATAGATGGAAAGGAAAAGCAGCAAAAGCTTTTCGTACCGACGTCGCAAGTTGGCTCTGAGAAACAAGTCTCAGTCAAGGCCACGGCAGACTTCTCCTTTACTCTGTCTCAGCAGGCCTCATCTGACTCTTCTGATCTTCAAATTTCAGTTATCAAGACCGGGAATTTGACAGACTCTGTCAAACAACTGACCAATAAGTTTAGTTGTTCACTGAGTGACGTCAGCACCAAGTTCGCGATTCGATTGAGTCCTGTTGATGGACTCCCCGAAGTCATCAGTGGATCCGTCAGCTGCGAGGTTACAGAGACAGAGACCAAGAAAGGAGGAGTGGTCGATGGCATGAAGGACTTTCTGGGTTTCGGGTCAAGGAAGGGGGACCAGGAGCCGCTTAAAGAAGACGATAATGCCGAATCCTCAACATCAACGTTAGAGCCCGAGACGTCTACCGCTTTGTCGCCTACAAAGACTGACACGGCTGGCTTTGTAGTGGACGAAAGTGTTAAAGAAGAAAAGCCCAGAGAGTTGAAGAAGAAGACGCAGACAATCGCCGTTGGTTTCTCAACCGAGTCAATTGAATCACAAGGAGTCCAGCCCGACAGTCAGAAGCGTATGAAAGCTCGGCTGTTTGCCTTCGATAAATCAGACCGCTCTCGCGTCTTGCGCGAGGAAACCCTGAACAATCTTGAGGGGTACACTTACAAGATCAGAGATATTCTAGAGGACGAGGGTTTCGTTGCTGCGTCGACGGAAGAGCAGAGGGATGGAATTGAAGAAAAATCAAATGATGCGAGCATATGGCTGTATGGTGATGGCGCGGACGCTAACCGAGAATCGCTAAAAGCAAGGTTGGACGACCTCCGTGGGCTTGTTGCTCCCATTCAAAAACGGAAAGACGAGGCAAACAAACGCCCATCAGAAATCCAGAGACTGGAGGATGCACTGGCGCAAGCAAATACCATGGTCACTGTGGTCAAGCAGCAAAGAGAAGCCCAGGTCCTGGCGGAATCTAAGGCCGCTTCAAACGCGGATGAGGCAAAATCGCAGACCACTACGGCGCCCAGCACGTCTACTGATGACTTCGCGGACCTAGACGACGAGACTGCCACGGCCTCATCCTCCATCATGTCGGCAGCTCCTCATCTTCCTGCGTCGATGTACAGCGAAGAGGACATTAATGCTATTCTCCAGACAGAGGATAATGTCAAGAGGTGGCTTGATGAGAAGCTGGCCGAGCAGGAAAAGCTCTCGCCAACAGATGACCCTGTCTTACTGTCGTCAGAGCTATCTGCAAAGTCGAAAGAACTCAACGACGTGGTAATGAGTCTTTTGACCAAACAAATGAAAACCCCGCCAAAGCCGAAGAAATCGAAGTCCAAGTCAAAGACTACGAAGACCAGCTCTACGAAGGCGACCGATACAGACACTAGCGCTGTGGAGTCTGGAGCAGCTGCCAAGGAGACGACAGGACCGGCGGGTGAACTGGATGATGAAATGGAAGGCTTGCATCAGGCGACGCCGGAGGAGATCGAAGAGGCTATGGCAGAACAGAAGTCTAACGCAGAGAGGAAGACGAAAAAGAAAGAGAAGGCCAAAGCCAGTGGGAAGGGTAAGGGGAAAGGGAAGTCAAAGGGCAATGATGGGGGGAAGGTGGAAGAGCATGGAGAACTGTAATATAGTAGATGTCTTGCAGAATTCGAGTGTCACTTGTAGCAATAGATTACCTTTAGATCAGCGACCTACAACTTGATGAATCTTACTGCTCGAGAGAAGGGATGCTTCGCCCGCTTTGTAGGGCTTCGCATCTTTGGTGAATAGCCATGAGGCAAAGGTGACAGACGACGTAGGGCGCAAGGGATATGAAAAGAGAGGTCTTTCATGCCCCGACTATCAAGCTTGCTAATCTATGTTCCTCCGTGCACGTCTCCATTTGCATGCATCGGCTGCAGCGAGCTCTAGCGATGCCTCCTTTAAGGCAACATCGCGAGCACCGGCCGCCGTCACAATGTTGCCCTGTGTCCTCCGCCTGCGCACATGACCATCTAGATTCGAAGGTCTAAGGTTCTGTTGGACCATTCCAGCACCTGGTCCCCTGCCCCGCCGAGCTGCGAGTCGAGGTGCTTTCATTTGCTGCAAGTCGTACCTCTTTGCCCTTCGCCTCTGGTCGGAAGTCTCGATTGCAAAGTTGCTTATCACGAACCGCAGTGGGAAAATTCTGCCCGTCCCTTTCGAAAATGTGCATACTTCGCCCGTCGCTTGACTGCTCGTAACATCACTTTTGAAACGTGCGCCTCTTTCTTAAGCAGCTATCACTCAAGATAATCCAATCTCACAAAGTAATCCATCATTTTTGAACACAAACCGTCGTCCTCCTCCTCATTACCATCTCCACCAAAGATCCTCTTCCGCTCTTCCATCAGTCTCTCGCACTCATCTTTATGCTTTCTTTCCCTGGCTTGCCATGCAAGATATCTATTATGCCAGTGTTTTGCGGAAAGATCGTTCCGCCGAGGATGTCTTACAGCTGGGGGCTTGGTATCCGACGGATCGGCAGAAGAGGGCAGCTCGAAACCGTCGTACTGGCAAGAAGCAGAGGCCTTGTGCTCGCCCCTCGTGCGACGACGATTGTGACGGCTCATTATGTTTCGGAGCGAAGAAGAGAAAGTATGTTCGACGTGCGAGTAAGAAGTAGAATATGGGCTTGATGAAGGATACAGCGAAATTAAGGAAAGTGGAAGTTTGAGCACGTATATACAGAAATTTTGTAGTGGTCACAGGCAGTCGTCATGAGTCTTAAACGAAATCACTGTTTGAGTCATGATGAGATGTGATGGCTGCGACATGGCCTGGCAAAAACTGAGTGGCGAACTCAAACCATGGTGTGACTCATACGAAAACCGTCCACATCCAAACAGCACTGGAAAAAATCATGGACCTCATTCTATGCACATCTTGTTCCAATTCATCGTTGTCTTCGCGAGTCGTCGTCTTTGGAAGAGGGACTTCGAAGAGTCATAAATAATGCGCACCGCGGAATCTCGTACAACAGGTAATCGTCAAAGCGTCTTTCCATTCGTCTCGTAGATTATCTCACAAAACTTCGTTTACGCCGTACCTCATAGTTCTTCGTCGTCATCTTCATCATCAGCCCGTCTATTTACCGAACCATGGATTACGAAACTCTTCTCTGCTTCCACGCCATGCATCATTTCGAAGCTCTCTTCGCTCGTCTGCGGACTTAGACTCTTTCCGGCTATGTGACCAATCCAATCGACTCCACCGGCCTTTGCAGGCTTGGTGCTAGTGATCCTCTCTTCCAGCGGCAAACTCGAACCTCCTTCTTGCGGAATTAAAAGTCGCCGATGCCAGTCACCAACAAACATGCCATCAGGGTCTACTTCATTTCTTACCCGTATCCAATCATCCATTTCAGGATACATTCTATACACGTCCTCCCTCGTAACGTGAGCGAAATTCTTAGCCCAGTGTGGTCGGCCGCCCATCTCCTTCATAAGCCACTCGAAAGCCTCGTAGTAGCGAGCTCGGCAGGGAGGATCGCAATTATAAGGCCTGTAAAGCGTCGCGTTCAAGTAAAGCGTTGGTCCATCAGGCATAGTATTATCCAGGTATGGACGCGGTACAGTAGTCGAAGTATCAGAAACCCGCACCTCAATCGGAGCGTGGATGTAAACTCCTTTCGAACTGAAAGGTATATCAGACGCTGCCTCATTCCCGTTGAGCCACGATGACAGACGTGTGATTGCTTCAGGACCCTTTCGAAGAGGAATCGCCCACTCATTGACAAATTGTGAGTAAAGACAGTTCATGAGGAGGCCGGTCCGCCCTTCTTCGACAGCAGCACTGCCAGCCCCATGTTTGAATCCGTACTGGACATTGATCACAAACCTTTCGAGCAGGGGCAGCAAACTGGGAGCCCACTGTGCGCAGTAGAGCAATAAGTGGTACGTATGAAATCCAATCTTTCCGGTCCACCAATTCGCCACTGGTGGATGGTGAGGTTTGTCCGTCTTGTCCGCCCTCCATCTGATACATTGTTTCATGTATGGCATCCACCAAACGCGGGTAAATTCTTTCTTTGTCCACAGATCTTTCTCCCAATCCGAGATTATCTCGTCTAATGGGTGAAGACTTTGAGCCCATTCGATGTTGAAGGCAGGAACGGCCTCAAAGGTGACCTCGGTGATAACGCCCAGTGCACCCAGACTCACGGAAGCAGCGCGAAAAAGCTCCGCGTTCTGTTCTGCTGAGCAAGACACTGTCCGGCCATTTGCAAGCATTATCTTTAGCGCTAGAACAGACTGTGATAGGATACCATGCCTTGTCGAGCTTCCGTGTGTCGCTGTTCCAATTGCACCGGCTATTGATTGGTCGTCAATACTACCCAGGTTCGGCATTGCCAAACCATGCTCTTTCAGCTTTATGCCCAGATCATGTAGCCGTATACCTGCCTGCATGACGACTACATTTGTATCCCTGTTGATGTCCAGTATGTCTTGAAAGCAGTCTAGATTGACCAGCCATGAGGAAGTACAGGTTAGATCCGACGGGGAATGTGCGCAGCCTGCGACGGTTATTCGACGTCGGCATCTTCGGGCAAGTGTAATGATTTTTTGCAGTTCTTCTGATGTCTGAGGCTGGATGTAGAGCTCCGGATGTGAATGAAAAGTCCTTGCCCAAGTGTGATGGTGGTGAGTGCTGATGGCTCGAAATGGAACGGTGGGATACAGTCTCGACACTTCTCGTTGAAGGTCCATAACAGGAAGACGTGCTTCAAAGTCCAGTGGGCATGTATGAGGAAGCACAAGAACGAACAATATCACCGCAAGAATGACTCTCTATCGAAGTTGCATAGGCTCGACAATTTATACACGCTCGTGGGAATGCAACAAGTGAGACGGGGGATGATTGCACGATCACCAAATCAACATGTCATAAGGAGTGTTTTGACGTATCAGACAGATGCCCTAGAACTAGGCGAAATCCGGACCTCCCGACAGGAATCCCTGAGTCCATTATCTATCTTACGTGCACAAAGGCACAGGGCATGTTACCAGTGGTGACAAACACACATTACACTCAGACTCGTGGAAAATTTGATCTTAGAAGTATTATGAAGATGACATCCCTCTGTAGCTGTGCTGTGCTGCTTTGTGGCCAGAGTCAATCTCCGTCTGCTAATAAATACTTCAAGGCAATTCAAATCATCATCACCACCCACTAATTTTCAAATGAGGAAGTTTTTTTCCAAAATGGCAGGAAGCCTTTACGAACCCTCTCACCACGTTGGTCTTCCTCCTGCTTATTCCCGAGTTCCCAGTTTTCCAAAATCTCACTTTCCCACGATTTTGCTAACCCTCAACCTTCTCCTGCTGTCAGCTCTCCGCAATCTCTGCCTCAGGAGTCTGCTCTCCCTTGTATGCTCCCTTTCCGACTGATTCTTGCCGCCCTTTTACCCGACACCTGAGCTGTGAGCCGTCAGACGTGTTGCGGAAGCGAAAAGTCAATAAAAATTGCTGCACGAACCCTCTCTCCCTCGCCAGGCCTGTCTTGTAATTCGATGCCCGTCTTCAGACAGAAGTGTTTAATACGAGATGATATAGTCAGACACTGCCTGGGCAGGAGAGCACCCTTTTCACGGCGCTGGTGCTCCTGTGAGGGTAAAGGAGTAGAGGGTCTTGTGGCAGTGTGTGGTCAGTGGACTAAAGCAGCACGTAGGTTATGGAGTCGTCATTGAGGCATTGGAAGCATGAATCAAAGAGCCGGCGTAAAATGCTCCATGCCTCCTGACTGCTAAGAAGCGAAAGAAGTACTGAGAAGCAAGCAAGCAGGCAATCGAACACCCATGATGTATGTAAAATTTGCATCTGACCCTGCTCAATTTGCCTCAGCAAAAGCCGTAACCATTCTTAAACTTTGGATGTCGTCTCCTCGTCTGTTCGCTCTTCCTTTTGGCGAACACTACGTCCTGGTGACCCGTGAGAGGCAAGTAAGATATCTTTATGGATAAATAGCCTTCGCACACCAGCAAGACTACAAAAACCAACACGTCTTATCATTCGTCGATCTGTCCGTAAATACAAAAACTTCAGCTTGACTCCTGAGCGCCAAAGGCAAGCTGGAGCCCAGCACTGGTTGAGTGAAGTTTTGTGCCCTACGAAGACTCTGGTGAGGGTATTGTATACTATATTTCCAAGCGTCAAGAACAGGGGCAACGGAAAATCCTTCTTGAGCGGCCAGCGAGTTAGGATCGCCGCACGGCATCCATGCTAAACGGGCATCCATTTCCATGGTGACATTCCGCTCCATCTCGAATGATGTCCAGCATCTCTTTACCTTTTGGCGTCAATGTCAGATTCTCATACCCGTGTTTGGTTATCAGTATATCGTCTTCTATTCTGGCTCCTCCAACATGCATGTACCGTTCCAGTACCTCTTCGTCGATGAACTTCGAAACTTCTGGGTTGGGTAGGTGTACTGTTTCCAGGGCGTAACGAGAGAAAGCTGCAGTTCCAGATCAGCTTCTCGCTGTTACTCGGCCATCTTCAAACATACAGATTCCTGGCTCTACTGTGATGACCGTTCCTGGTTGCCAGGGTGCTGCATCTGACGTGCATGGAGCCATAAACTCATTCGTGAGCCTCAATGGGCTCTTCTCACTGAATTCAATCATTGATTGTTCCTCGCCTCCGCAGAAACTCAAGATCGGTTTTGCGCTGACATCGTGAACATCAAGGCCCATGTGGTGGCCTAATCCATGTGGGAAGAAAGCCTTGCTCACAGCAGTCCTCAATAATTTCTCGATATTGCCTTTTCTTAGTATCCCTAGCCGCATGAGACCTTCTATCGCTATCCTATCAGCAAGGTAAAATGCATCCAGGTATCGAACTCCAGGCCCCAGCATCGCAATGCATCTTTCTTGCATCTCCTCCACAATAGCATAGGTCTCAGCGACCTCCTTGCTCGGCCATCCATTGCCGCAAGCGGGAATGTGCGACTGAACAAAGACCTCGGGATCAGCATTGTCTGTTCAAGAGAGAAAATCAAGCCTGGAATACGTCTTGAAGCTGACATATCAACTTGACAAAAACAAAGAGGCAAAATCTAGACTCGGATCCTACGTACGTTATATCACTCGAATAAAATTTCCATTCACATCCTGCATCGAGACATAACAGACCCTTGCCTTTGAGACTTCCATTATTGTCCGTATAGTGCAGGATGGAAGCATTTGCTCCTGAGGCAACGATGGGCGGATATGCTTGCCAATCTGCACCATGAGCTATACAAACGTCCAGGTCAAGAGCTGGTTATAATTTCGAAGTCAGTATTGCGTATTCGAGGGGTTGCATTGCGCCTCGGAACGTTTCTACAGAGTAAAAACCCCCAAGACATGTCTCGGGACTCAAGACTTGGTCCAGAGGAAAGATGGACTCCGAAAACATGTACCATGAACTTCTGCCTCAGATTCCAGGGACGTAATATGGTGCACGACCGTACGATGAGCTAGTGAAGACACTTTGATTGCTCTACGTATGAGATCAATCTCGTCGTCACCTTTGATCACACGAGAAGCATCGAGAGCAAGCAGTAATGAATGCGTGTCATAGTTTGGCTTCAAGAAGTCTGGGAGGAGCCCTTTCATATTCTGGCTTTCACGAAGCACATAGACTTTCTTCTGGTGATGTGCGACAAGCCAATGCTCGATATCAGTAGGCATAGAAGTGGTGAATCTTGAAGGCATCGAAGTCATATCTGGTTCGGACGCCATTAAGCGCCGGGAGAAACGAGGGAAACATTTGACCAACCTGTCTTCGGCTTCCTCTAAAGTGGAACCTCTGCCAAACCAGATGACACCTTGAGCGGTTATTGGGGCGATATATAAGGTCGAAAGACCTTGCTCGATATCATATGTCATGTAGCAATCAGGTTCATTGACCCCACTCAAATAATGGAAATACCTTGTTCTTGGCAACAAAACATTCTGGCAGTAAAGGCAAAATTCATGAACGTCCTCCCTCACCGTCTTTGTCGAAAGGGATAAGTCATGTCGCTCTCTTCGATGTAAAGCTTACGTTGGGCTGAAGATACATGGCTGAATGAGTGCCTTGTTTCGAATCGCTCTGAAAATGGAATATCTACCTTGGAGGTATATTAGACTATCGCAGATTCGGAGTCAGCCTTGCTCCATCAGAACACGGATCTGAGATAATGAAATAACTCGTTGGAGTAGTGGTGAAGACGAAAGACAAGTCCTACTTTCAGGAAGGAATAGAGATCAGACGAAATAAGAATAAAATAACCCGTACGCCTCTGAGACTTGCAAGTGATGAACGGCATTCTGAGCATGAAGTTTGGCTTCGTCCACGTCAATATCTCCCTGCTGTCAGCTCGACCGTGGACGACTTGCCTGGATATTTTGCTATCCCTCCACCCGAAACATTTGATTTCGAAGCCCCTCTGCGCCATTCTTTCATCAAAGTATGGCTTACGATGTTTGCTATCGAACGGACTCGTGAGATTATTCAGAAGCTTTGAGGTCGAGGCGGTACTAGTACTGTGTTTTGAGGGAAATCATGTAACATGATTGGCCCAGGATAATGAGCGAACGTGTTCTTCAGAGCTCTGTAATCGTACTACTCCATAATTCGAGTCCAATCTAGCCGCGGTGCCGCCGTCGCCTCTACGGTCGACCACAGACGCAAAATCCCCACCTCCGCAGCACACGACTTTCAGCACATCCACCGCATACCTCATAAACATCAAAAGCATTTTTCTAACAAGCAAAAGCACCTCTTGCCGCACTCTTCCTCATGGTCCAATAGCATGGGCTAGGAATGATGGAAGAAGATATTGCACTCTCCCCTACCACTGTTTCAACGTCATCCTTCCACACTACTCCGTCACCTACAGACCATACGTCTTCGTGGCGGGAATCGTCTCATGACACCACCAAAATCCTGACTAATGTCAATAGCAACGATGGCTCGACAGGCAAGGGCATCCTCATTGGCATGCTCTCCGCTTTCGGCTCAGCCGCCTTCGTCGTCCTCGTCTTCGCCATCTTTTACTTCTTTAGATACACCAGTCGAGGACGCATCTTCTTAGATCGCATAGGAAGACCGGGCGAGTATGACGATGAGCAGGCGCTGGCAAGAGAGGAGGCCGATGCTTTAGAGGACATGGATGATCTGCAACGAGTGGAGTATCTCAGAGCAAAAGGTACGCTGTGGACCTTCTTGCCATATGAGTCTCCATCATCCCTTCCTGATGCCCTTGATATAGCATTCATCCAAGCCAATCCGCCCGAGACTTTGCCTACGGACATTTCACTTTCACAGTACCTTGCAATCCAGGAGAAGGGCGTGTCCGCATGGGAATTTGAGCCCGAGCTCGAGATTGCGAACTGCTTTGTCGAGGGCCGAACGGAGATCGAGTTTTTTGATTCTGAATGTAGTGTCCAAAGCAATCTGCCCATACCGAAACAGAACGAGGTTTACTATTGGGAAGCCAAAGTGTATGATAAGCCCGATTCTTCTTTGATCAGTATCGGTGTATCGACAAAACCATATCCCCTCTTCAGACTACCGGGTATGTCTGTCTGGGTCTAGTTGATCCAAAACATTGCACTAATTCTATTCAGGCTGGCACAAATCCTCAATAGCCTACACCTCGACCGGCCAACGGCGCTACAACCAACCATTTACGCCAACCAGTTATGGTCCTGAGTACGTACAAGGCGATGTCATAGGTGTCGGCTATCGACCACGAACCGGAAGCGTCTTTTTCACACGGAACGGCAAGAAGCTAGACGATGTAGCTCATGGCTTGAAGACACAGAATTTTTTCCCAACAGTGGGCGCAAATGGTCCCTGCACCGTGCATGTCAATTTTGGTCAAAGCGGGTTCGTTTTTATTGAAGCGAATGTCAAGAAATGGGGCCTGGCTCCAATGACCGGTAGTCTTGCGCCGCCGCCACCGTACGGCAGCGAGCAAGGCAGTATACTGCTGGAAGCTGGAAGAGACGGCACGAGACAGAGCCAGCCAACTTACGGGCATGGAAGATCGCGGAGCGGGAATATAAGAACTGCTCCGCCAATGAGTCCCGGTCCACAACGGTCACCAACGGAGATTTCCCTCGCGCAATTGGCCCATATACCGTCGAACGAGGATGTGGGTGAGGGCACTAGTAGGAGTGCGGAACGAGCAGACGGAGTGTTGGACCAGCAAGTAACTGCCCATGATCCGCAAGATTTCTCGGCGCCGCCACCCGAGTACACAAGTCCGGAGGGGTCTCATGAGAACAGCCGAAGAAGCAGCGAAGGCAGCGATGACGATGGTGAGGAAAGACCTCTCATGCGGCCTGATTCACCAAGGCCACCTATACCTAGCTATGATGCGGCCGTGGCAGATGATCCCCGGTCGAGACATGAATACGATACCCAGCATAGTGCATAACGATGATTTTACGCGATCCCCTCCATTTACTTTGTGAATATAAGAAATATGCCTTCGTTGAAGCAGCATTGGGAGGATATTTTTGGCATGGAATCATTAGGCGGGCGTTGTGGGTTGTGGTCGTCAACAGCAAATGGAGAGCAGCGCGAAGGATGGGATACTTTTGAAATGGCATGGAAAAGCCCATTCTTCAGCCATGCGCACAGAGTCTAAATGTACGATACTACTATATTATGAATGACTTGCCATCGAACATTCATCGAACCTTGAATCCGCTCAGTATGGATGATGATGATCTAGCTAAGGAGGGAATCTAGTCTAGTAAATATCTTACAGTGTTGCCCTGGGAATGTGGCTTAGAATAGATACGCAATATAATCACGGATGAAGTGGAACGATTGTATAAACATAATAGAGAAAGAAGCGTATGGAAGTGTGTAGTTTTGTCTATCTAGCAATGATGGGTAATAGACGTGAGACATGGTACTACTCCCAAGTTTTCTTCAATTGTCTATGCACGACCTAGCTGGTGTTGTGAAAAGGAATAATAGGGGTAAAAAAAAAAAAAAAAAAAAAAAAAAAAAAAAAAAAAAAAATTAAGATAAATATATTTATTCTCGATACCTCTCGTCTAAAGGTTACTAAATATCTAAGATATATATACTTCTTTTTTCATCTCTTAGAGCCTCTACTAACGCCTTTAAGTCGTCTCTCGACGAATTTATTATTACTAGTAATCGAGGCTATAAGTAAGTTTAATAGCTATCTACTACTGACTATAAACGCGCTAGAAAATCCTTTAAAAGAGCCCGAACGGATATGTTCTCCTCTATAGATTTCTCTTAAGTTAGCGATAGTGCCTTTTAACTCAGCGATGCTACCTTCTAAAACGCGTCTTTCTCTTCTATTCATTCTTTATTACCCTATTTTAAAGCCTCTCAACGCGTGTTAGATTCTGAATATCGTTAAGAAAAAGCTTTTAAATAAGAGGAAGACGCTATCGAAGACCCTCTATTATGAGATCTATTAGCAGACTTCTTTAATAATAATTTCGATAGCCTACGTTCTTTCAGTCTATCTTTTAACTCTTATTTAAATTCTACTTAGTCTTTAATAAGACTTATTAGCTATATCGCGCGTTACTTATATATTATAGAGTCTATATAATATAATTTAAATTTTATAGATTAGATTTACGATTACTATAATATAATATTATAAAAAGATAAGATAGTCGAGTAATACTGCGATAGCGAAAAGATTAAAGTCGATATATCTAAAATAGATAAGATAGACGATATAGAATAAGGCTATAAGGGCGTCGAAACGAGTATAAACGATTCGATTAATTTTAGCGAGCATATTATTAATTAAATTCTCTACTCTTTAATATTAGAAATCTCGAATCTTATTAATAATAGTAAAGAATTTCGTTATTATAGCGTTTAGTATAATAATACGATCTCTATAGCTTTATAGTAGATTATTATTAATTATTTAATCGCCTTATATATATATAAAATTCAGAAAGTAATTACTACTTATATATCTACTCTAGCGTCTTTAAAGAACGAAAAATCGATATTTAGCTAAATCTATATTATAAATAATATCTAAGATTAATTTATAATATAGTATAACTTTCTTTTAACCGCGTTTTCTATACTAACTTTACTAGATATAGCTACTATAATTATATTAATTAGACGCTTTATCGTAAAATAGCTATAAATCTTAAAAGTATTAATCTCTATATTAACGCTCTTAAATCGATATCTAAAAGACTAAAAGTCGATCTAAATATATGAGATTATAAGCTACTTTATAAGAATCTATAATATTATAATTTATATATCTATAATCGTTCTACTTTAGATAAGATCGCTATTATCTAGAAGAGTAATATCGATAACTTACTAAGTATATCTAAGATTAGAAATATATTAATAGAAGCTCGAAGTAATAAGAGATTTAATATTTCATATTAGCATTTAGTCTATATACCTCTACGCTATTCTCTTATTTTTCTATTCGATAAATAGTTATAGTATAATAATATATCTAATATAGATATTATATTAAATAGAAGCCTTCTTACTTAGCGTAATAGAAACGATAAAGTTATCTTATAAATTAAAGAAACTATTAAACGAGATAGTTCTAAATAAGTAACGCTTATCTTATATTATAGATCTATTTTATTTATTTCTTCTATTCTATTAATCGCTAACTTCTTATAAATATATAATATAGAGTTATTCTAATAAGTTTAATCGTTTTCTTTACTACGATAAACTACTATAGTATTTCATCTACGATATCTATATAGTTATTAAAAGTAATAAACTTTATTAACTAAAGATAAATTAGAAGATTATTCGAGTTAATATCTATTAAATAATCGTTAATACTTATATCGATAAAGCTATTATAGATAATTAGACTAATAAATAACGTATTATTCTTTCTTTCTTCTATTAAGAAGACCTATAATTTATAAAATAACTCTATTAAGATATTATTATTCTATTTATTAAGTTTAGTCAGCTAAATCTCTTTACGACTTTTACCTATAATTCAAAATAAATCGAGATTATCGAAAATCTCTTACTCGACGAATACGCTACTAATCAGCCTAATCTGATTACTAAGATATTTAGATTAAAGCTAAAGGCCCTTATAAACGATATTCTAAAGGGGAAGATGCTAGGTATACTTCTATTCTTCTTACCCTCTATTACAGTACAGTAGCTCTCCCTCATTTCATTTAGTAGAGTAGCCTCTTAGGCGATATATCAGTTAGATAATTAGTGTAGGTTACAGTCCCTAAGAGTGCTTCTAATACGATTTAACCCACTATACGCCGTAATTCCTATCGGTTAGCCCTGCGATACCGTCCATTTTTTTTCACCTCTATAAGGGCGAAGCATGGCCGGTTGAAATCTAACTCTAACTGACTTTGCGGGCAACAGGTCGAGTTTCGGCCCATGCCTACACCATTGAATTTCAAAAATAAGGCCTACCACATACCTATATCCTTATCATTTTATACCCTAAAGACCGATTCTTCAGCGCCGCTAAGATTAACGCCGCTATTAATACTAAGATTCCTAATTAAAGTCTATTTTTCAATCTCTATACGACCGTCACTAGATATATACTCTATAAATATATACTCTATAAGAACTATAGTTAATATACTACTAGTAGAATAGATATTATTTCATCTTATTAAAACTCAGATAAGAACATATATAGTAAGCGATTTTCGAAGAACTTTAGCGACTATATTATCTTTAAACTAGACTTCGAGTATTCTATATATTATCGATATAGATCTACTAAGATATTAAACGATAAATTTAAGTAGAATTACTAGATAATATCTTATAGTCTCTATTTATTAATTAAGTATAACGCTTATATTAATATAGAGATCTACGCTAATATTAAAGTCTATAAATATATCTTTAAATATATTTATAAGAATAGCGATTAGATTAATCTTCGAATAAAGCGTAAAAGCGATATAGATTAGAACGATATAGGGCTAGACTAGATAGATAAGATTTAAGAGTATTAAGACATACGATAAATAAACTCTATAAAAGTCTATTAAAGGATTTTTAGCTTCAAATTACATAATTATAATTCTTCTATTAAACGATTATTTATTTATCTCTTAAATTAATAGAGCGTAATATTTAATAATAATAATAATTTATTTCATATAATTAATATAGAATATAAACGCTAGACTAAGCTAATAGTCTTCTTTTAGCTAAATTAACTACGTCGATAGAAAAGATAAATAGAAGACTTCTTCTATATTAATCTATCGATATAATATATCTAGAAAAAGAATAAGCGAGATATATTCGAATAAAGTTTACGTTAGAGGCGTAGAAATATTATTATAAGAATATACTATATTAATTCAAATACTAGAGAGCTCTTCTATCTACGATATCTCCTTCTAAATATATCGAACTCTATATTCTTCGAAGACTTATATATAATAAACGATAATATTCTTTCTTTCTATTATAGTATCTATATAGCGAGAGACTTACTTTATAATAATATCGAATAAAATTAAGTATTAGATAAAGTAGCGATCTAAAAGAGAGAATACTACTTACGAGATCTCTTTATAATAATTCTACTATAATATAAGCTCGATAACTCTCTAAATCTATAAAATAATTATAAATTAAGATATATAGATAATTTCTTCTTTATCGAGTAGAAATACTTTAAGCGTAGTATAAATAGCTTATCGCGCTAACGATAGTATTAAAACATTATAACTTTTTTTAATATAGTATTTCTTTTTTTATATATTAAAACTTTTCGCGCTAGATATATTTTTTCTTAATAATATCTTTAATAAGTTAAAGTACTTTAAGCTATAGAATAAGAAGATTACCGCGCTAACGATAGTTTTAAAATATCGCGACTTTTTTTAATATAGTATTCTTTTTTTAGCTATTAAAACTTTTCGCGCTAGACGTATTTTTCTTTTTTTACCCGTAAATAATTTAATTCTTTACTCGTACTTTACGTACATTTCTTAACTAATACTTATTATTCTTTATTTAAATTATCTAATAATCTTATTTATATTCTTTAGACTTAGTATTATACTCTTTCTCTATTAAACGATATATAATATAAGTAAACTATCGTCGAAGACTTCTATCTTCATTTAATTTAAATTCGCTTAGAGAAAAATAATATTAGCTCTATAAAGGATATTAGTCTTACTATCGACTTTAGTCTATTCGCGATTTAATAAAACTACGAATAGTATTATATTAATAATCGAAATCGACTTCTACGCGAAGTACGTAATTATCGAATTAATATCTAAAATTAAATATAGACGAGTTTTAATAATAATTAAATCACTATAGCTAACGCTATTTAAAACGCGATCTCTTATTTTAATAGCTAACTCTTCTTTCTCGATAACTATAAAGATATCGATAAGACTATAC